AAAAAAAAAAAAAAAAAAAAAAAAAAACCCCAAAAAACTTGAAAACTGATCTGATCTCAGTAACTACTATAGTTTGTATCACTAAGTTGTAGTGGGGCCTTCTGGTGACAAAAGCTGACACAGGCTCATTGTAGAACACCTGAATCACATAGAAAAGCTCGAAGAAGTCATAACTGAGTCACTCATAGACAACCCGCTAGTGACGTGATTGTGTCTTCCACTATGTGTATCTACAACCAGAATTGGGCTCACCAGCTATATACTGCTTTGTGTTTGTCTTATTTTTATAGTTCCAGCTGTATATGACTGTACACTCAATTTCAGAAATAATGAAAACCCAACATTGCTGGGAGTCCTAAATGGAAAGAAATATCACGCCGATTGCTATGTTAGGTAAGTTTCTTCTCCAAAAAGAGAGCTCATTTCTACACAGATAAGTCAGAAATGACCTGGAGACCTCCTTCCACAGACGTCTGGTTAGCCTCTTGCAGGCTGCTTTGCAGTCAGCCTGTTTACGGTCTGTATTTATGTTAAAATCTCCAGAGATACAGCCTATGCCTAGAAATGACCCGAAGATGATTCCTCCCTTCCCAGTCTTCCTCTGATCCTCTCTCACCAGCTCATTCCTGGCACAGAGCCTTGACTGGACAAAGCAAAGACCATGTTTATAACCCGAGACCGTATTCTATAATCAGTCATTTGGAGGTTGACTGTAAAGGGGTTATTTTATTGACCCCTTTGAAGATGGGTCTTCTCTATAGAAAGACATACAAATAATATGAGCAGCAAGTGGAGGACACTTGTGCAGTGTCTCGCTTAGGTCTCACATTCCAGTGAATTCTGGTTTTATTAAAGACATCAGGCAAGCCAGTTCCTTGCACTGGTGATTAATTTCCACAGCGAATCTAACACCTAGTCTCCAGATGCCACCAAGGTGAATGGAAAGCAGATCTGACAGGTCAGGAGTGAGACTGGGTTCTTGGGCCTCTACCCATCTCTAAAGGCTAACTGAGGGTCTACAATTAGCCACAGTTGTACACCAAGTGGTGTACAATTTCGTAGTTAAAGGCCCTACAGATGCTGAATTGCCACATGGTACAATTGAAAAATCCAGCGGCTGATCAGGCTTTTCTGAGGGATGTTTTAGTGGATTGACAGCTTGTGTTTAAATTGCTTCCTACCTGGAAATGACTCTGGCTTCCTGTGCTCCCCAAATACAATATATGCACCATTGTTACCATTATTTTCTAGTGGTGCGGTTGATGCGGTGCCTTTGCTTAATTGTATGGCAGGCCAGGGGAAAAGGAGCCCTTCTCCGGACATGAAGTGGGTTTACCCTCCTGAGTTTCTTCAGCACTTGGAAGGAGCCCCATACATTGGCAGCTAGACCCTGGCAGGATTATTCTACCTGCACTACATAATTTTCCTGAGTAACTGCAGCTCTCTGGAGCATATGTGGGAGTTAGAGGGCACAGCCAAAGGACCCTGGAAGCAGCTCACTCCCAGCCTCAGAGGAGGATCACTTAGGCCACTCAACACCTGTTTTCTTCTAGTGACCATTCAAGGTAGTTGAAACATTCCTGCCTATATGCTACACCTTAATACAAAGTATTAAAACATCAAGGGTAGGGCCAGCAAGATAGCTCAGCAGACTAAACGCCTGCTTAGGGAAGCACAGGGACTAGGGTTCAATCCTTCACACCACATGCCATGCCTGCCCTGTCTCTGGGCGTGCTTAGCTGGCCACCGAGTCTGGGGATGGTGGCGTACATCTGTAATCCTAGCGCTGGGGAGGCTGACCACAGGAGGATATCTATGAGTCTGAGCTGCATAGTGAGACCCCGTACTAAATCTATATATAAGAAAATAAAGCATCAAGGGTAATACAAGCAAATAAGTTACAGACAAGAGCAAAATCACCTAAGTTCCCACCACTCAAATGCAAGTGCTTCTAACTTTTTTTTAAGGAAAAACATGGACATTTGTAGTTTGCAAACCAACAATAGAATCAGAAAGAGCCAAGTAAGAAATGACCTATTGAAATAAATATATAGAGACAAAAAAGTATTTCTGAAGGAGCTTGTGAGGTAAGTTTAATTACATGGAAAATACACCTCTGCAGAATACTGCCTCCTAAGGAAGCTATTATTCTAATGGTGGTCGACCATTATAATGTTATAAAATGAAATTCCACAGGTCTATTATCTACAGGTAGATAATATGGGGGCAAGGTCTAAAATGTCTCTCCTTCCTAAGATACTTCCGGGCACAGTGGGGAGAGAAATGACCTGTGGGAAGTCATAACCAACAGACTTCTCCGTGGACAAGGGAAGGTCTGTGGAAGCTATTGAGACAAAAATGTCCACACACTGCTCAGTGACACTCTAGGTTACAAAACAGTGTATGTGGCATTGACACCTTTTGAATTATCATTAATATAGAGGTGTCAGGAAACCTACACTAGTGGTCATTTAATTGTTCTCAGCCATCCCTGGGGCTGCGTTGCTGAGTTTATTTTTCTTGTTTAAGAGTATTTTTTGATTTGTGCTATTAAAAATGTTTCTAAGAGAAAACTAAATGTTGCTAGGAGTATGTGAATATGAGGTGATAGATACGTTCATGACTTTGTAGTAATCAGTTCATAACTTCTATGCTTTTGTCTTTTAGAGAGGGTCTTGCTATATATAGTTCACTGCGTGGTACAGGCTGGCTTTGAAATCATGACAATTCTTCTGCCTCAGCCTCCCAAGTGCTGGTATTATAGGTGTGCACCACCATGCCTGGGTATCGCAACATATATGTATCATAAAATGGTGTACACATTAAATATATTTGACTATTAATGTGGTACCAGGAATTGAACTCAGGACCCTGCACTTGACAGGCAAGCACTTATGCTACTGAGCTATCTCCCTGGGTATTTTTTTTATTTTGTATTTTAGGACAGGGTCTACAGGGTCTCACTGTGTAGATCGGACTCGCAGTGATCCTCCTGTTTTCAGCCTCCCACAGTCTAGGATTACAGGTGCACCCCACCACGCCCACTCTCAATTGCAGTCTCAGCGCAGCCCAGGGCCAGGGCCAGCACGCCAGGCCCGGGGATCGAACCCCTAACCCCTGCGCCTGCTTGCCTGCCCTAGAATGGCATGGTGGCATGTGCCTGTAATCTCATTGCATAGATGGTCACCACTGTCATACTCAAAGTGCAGCTGGATGTCTCGCGTGACCTCCCCTGCTAGCTGCCCCCTGTCTTTCAGGCGGATTCCCATGGAAGACATCCCAGACGATGACGACCAGTGCTCGGCCTGGCTCCACAAGCTCTACCAGGAAAAGGTGAGCGCATTGGGCCCCAGCAATCCCTTTGATGGCACAGCTGTGGATCCTAGCCACCAAGGACTGAGTGGCCACTAGGGACAGCATGGAAACAACCCCGTTACTGGCAATGCTGCAGCAGCTGCTCAACTTGGGCCACAGGGCCAAGAGCGTAGCAGTCTATATTCTTGTAGGAAGGAGCTTTAAGGAAAGGATGGGGCTGTTTCGTGAGTGTGGTGGAGCACGCAGGAGTGGCCAGGCAACAGGCTGGGTTCTGCTGGTGGTGCTACAGCAGAATGCTCCCGCATGGGGGCACGCTCTTTGGCAGTGGATGTGGACTTTCTCAATTGCTTCCCTCTGCAGTTTGGTTGCCTGTGTGGTCTCCACACATCACCCCGAATGGAGGCCTCAGAGGATTGCAAGGGTCTTGGCTCATCTTGAGCCTGTCTGCACAGGGGACCTGCCTATCTTTTCATTCTGAACAGGGCCTTAACGTTCACTGATTTCTCTCTCCAAAGGCACATATCTTTGGAAGGCTTAGTCCTGAGCACACTGTTACCTCCCAAGTGCAACAACCTGTGACCCCACAGTCCTTCGTGACCTGAGCAGCCTTCTAGGGCAGGTCCCTAGGAAGCTCGGGGGGCGGGGGGTGGCTGCAGCTGACAGGATGGGGTGGGGGTGGCTTTCTGCGTGGGGAGGTCCAGGAATTTTTGTTGCAAGCCTGAATGACAGTGCAGTGTGTGTCCTAGGCTGGTCCAGGTAGGCCATTCAACGGGACACCAACTTCAGGCCAGGTGCACTGCCACATGTCATCTCATTCTCCTACAACTGATTTGGGAGGCATTAGCATCCTGTGGGACAACTTGGGAGCCTGGCTCAAGCTGGCACCTGCACAGTCAGGTGGCTATGGCCTGGGCTCCTTCCTCCTGCACTCAGTGCTGGCTGCAACTGCTTCTGCATGACCTGTAGGAATGAGAGCCAGGCACACTGAGAAAACTTGGCAGCTCTCTACAAAACATGTCCTCCTAGTTTCTGGTGGAGCCAGAGTGGCCCCCATGGGTTTCTGACCTCTTTCAAGATAAGGTGGGGGCTCCAGACAGACCAGCCACCGGGTATAGCATCATGCCCAAGGGTTTCCTTCTTTGCCCCCAGGATGCCTTTCAAGAAGAATACTATAGGACAGGAAACTTCCCAGAGACCCCCATGGTGCCGTCCCGGAGGCCCTGGGCACTGGTCAACTGGCTGTTCTGGGCCTCCCTGCTGCTCTACCCCTTCTTCCGGTTCCTGGTCAACATGGTCAGCAGTGGCTCCTCCGTGACTCTGGCCAGCTTCATCATTGTCTTCTTTATGGGTGAGTGGAGGGCAAGACTCAAAGTGGGGCAGTGGCTCTGCCTGCTACAGGAAGAGTGCCCAGCATGGGGAGAGCAGAGGCAAGACCGAGTTTTGTGGAGGCCAGTGGACTCCCAGGGAACTCCTAGGTACCTGGGATGGAAAGAATTTCATGGTCTGCTCATGTAGCTTCAGCCCCAAACTGCAGTTCCATCTTTCCCTAGGATGGCATGAACATGGTTAAACCTTTCTCCCCAGAAAGGGTCCAGCCCCTTCCTCTGCACAGACCAGCTTCTTTTGATCACATCCTCCTCTTCCAGGGGAAATCCTAGCTGGAAGTCCAGGGCCTCTAGGTCTGGCCTTCCCCTGAAGGGCTTTTCCCCTCACACCCCGGTGGTCTGACATGGGGTGGAGCTGCTCAGTAATCTGTCTCTGGGATCTGCAATGGCTTTGCACGGCAGTGTTTCCCACCACAGCCTGTGTGCACATTGTGGCTTTTTGCCGAGATAGGGCTGTTGGTTTACTGCTCTTTAGCTCGGTGCTTGTTGGAGCTGAGGTAGATGAGAGCTGAGTGTCCCTGTCCCCCAGAGCCTGGGGTCTTCTCCTGGGGCTTTGCAGAGTGGGCAGTCTGTCTTCTTTTCCCAGGTGGGGTATGGCAGAGTCCAGGGATGCACAGCCTTGTGTGTGTGTGTTCCGCAGTTAGTTACTCCTGAGAAACATAAAGATGCTCTGTGCTCACTGTGGGAGCCTCAAGCTATACAAAAATACACAAAATAGAAAGTATCTCAGGTTATAGCCTCCTGGGACCCAGTCCCATGAGAGGACCATTCCTGACAGCTTGGTATATACACCATTGCAGTTTTGAACATCTCTGCATAGGTGGAGTTTCCTTAACTTGATTTTCCTTCCTAATCAGTTGTGACCGCCTGAACACATTACAAGGCATAAACCTGTCTCCTGTATCAGGCTAACCAACATGTGGTTGCAAGAGGCCAACTGGTTCTCATCCCTATAATAGGCTCCACTATGGTCTTTTAAAGTAAATGATACATTTTAATGTTGTAAAACTTAAAACAATACCCACTTCTTATAGGGAAAACAATGTACAGAAAAGGATGCAGAGGGAGACACTTCATTTCTGAGACAGGAGGAAGATCAGGGATACCCCACCTCTCCACATGCTGTGCAGCCTGAGAGGTCTCTCCCGGCCCCACACACCCATGCTGTGTCACCTTCTCCTGAGACTTACCGATTTCCACCTAGATGGCTTTGTTTGTCCCTCGTTCCTCAGGGCCTTTGAGCCAGCATCCTTGTTCCACCCCTTTATTCTCAGCAGTATCATTATTTCCACTGCTAACGAGGTCTTCCTTGGGAGTTCTAGGATTGCGAGAGCTCATGTCTCAGCCTCTCCAGATGTGGCCCCAAGAAGTCTTCTCACTTTAATCAGCCCAAGGGTCCTGTGTCCCCACTGGCTGCACTGGTCTCCTGTCCCAGTCTGCTTCAGGTGATCTGAGGCGAGTTTACAGAGCCCAGTGCTAATGCTTTGGGAGACTTCATTCACTTACCTGCCCGTCATTAAACACCCGTCATAATGGGGCTGCATGAGCCCAGTGGGGGCTCCAGCACGGTTAACACATGGTCCCGCCCAACGAGCTCACGAAGCTGCAGCTCCCGAGCAGCTTGGCCACAGCAGCTCACTTCCTGCCTCCTGGGGCGTCACTGGCATCCTGCGTGGGGCTGGTGCCTTCTCTGTCGCAGGCCACATCCTCGGAGCAGAGGTGCTCAGTGAGGCTGAAGACTTCACTCCCTGCTCCAGTGCTCATCCCTGGGGTTGAGACCTGGTGTGTCCTTGCCATTCGAGGCTTCAGGTTTGTTCCCAATGCGGGTCCACTTCAGGTGCCCTGTGGATGCCCACCAGGGATTTCCAGAGGAGTCCTCTGAGCTTGTGGATGGACATGGAAAGCAAAGGAGTCTCTGAGGCCCCCTTAAGCAGCTCCGTATGACCAGGCAGCTTGTTAACTTCCTGTGGCCAAGAAGAAAAGCCCAGCAGAATAGCCTTGCTGTCCCTTAGTACCACTAGACGTGACTATTAACCAGAGCTATGCAATGGCACCCCAAACTTATGAGCGCTGTCAGTCCTTGTGATTTGCAGCCACCTGCCCCTGCACACAGCCCCAGAACTGGCCAGAATCCTAACCCACATCCTCCTTTGTTTCTGCAGCCTCTATGGGAGTTCGATGGATGATTGGCGTGACAGAAATTGACAAGGGCTCTGCCTATGGCAACAGTGACAACAGACACAAGCAGAGTGACTGATGTGGGCATATGCTGCCTCCAAAGGGAACCTTGGGGAACTGGTGGCTTCTGCACAGCCTTCTTAGCAGGACACAGTGATGGAGGCTGGGGATGTGGAGGTCACAGCCTCTCCGGCCATAGGAATTTTTGGTCTCAGAATCAAGATGGGGAGGAAGATGCTTTGAAATCTTCTCCCCCCATGTGATTTAGTGGGTGTTGTTTTTCTTTTCAGTTGCACACGTGTGGGGGGTGTGTGTGCGGTGGCTGTGTGTACCTGGCCCTGTGACAGTGCAAAGGGTATGTGGCTGCAGGAGAGGGCAGGGCTGGGGAACAGGAGGGGCATGTTCCCTGTCACCCTTTGGTGCTGAGTCTCCTGTAACCCTTGACTGTCAGAGTGAAAAGTGCTTTAAGTAAGATGACTAAATTATGTCTCCAAAAACAAATTAAAGTATTTGTCTGGTCGTCTGTGGTGTGTATATAGACAGACCACTCCACCCTCCCATCACCCTCTGCCCTGGGCTTGGGCATTCCAGAAGGCAGCAGTGGCGGGGCCAGGCCATGGCAGGGGCTGTGGCAGCCACGCAGTGGGTGTGGCTGCACCATGGTGCTCCCTGGCAAGAACTGGATAGGAGACCCACAACCGGCAGGTAGCTGCAGGTGCTGGGAGACAGCCGCATGCTTTCCTGTGATACGATGAAGGGTATCTGAAGGAGGCGCTGTTTCTGTCTCCCCAAAACAGAGGCTCTCACTTAAGTCCTGAAGACCCGTTCAACCCCCTGAAGCTGATCTTGAAAATGAACCTGAGAAAACATAAAAATAAAGCCTGCGCATCTTGTAGCAATTTGTAAGACAGTCTTGCATCTCCTATTCAGCTCAGCAGTAACGGCAAGGGTTGGATCCTTCAAAACAAGCACCAGGTCATTGACAAAGCTACTTCTCCATTCCCCAGCTGGGCTGCAGCGGCCCAAGAGCTGGACCCCTGTGAAGAGGTTCCCTGGGCTCCTGTCCTCTTCTGAACTCACACTCGGCTTTCTTGTTAGCAACACTGGAATTCTGCCTGTGGGTCTTGGGAGCGAGCCATGGCCGGTGGCAGGACTTCAGCAGACTGTGGACAGCAGTGAGGCCAGATTGAAAAGAAGAGGAAAAGGGCAGTGATGGTAACTACCTGATCGTGCAGGCCGACATGCTGATGTCAGGGAGCACGTATCTTTCTCTCCATGGGAAGCTGTACTCTGTCTGGTACAGATACCCTATTTTGCTGTGGAGTTCACCACTCATCCCACCAGAGGCACACTCTCCTCAGTCGTGTTCTCAGCTCTTTGTTCCACAGCACTTACCAAGCACAACAGCCTAAGGAGAGTCAAAGGTTACAAGAGAGGGCGAGAGCTCTCTGGTTGAGGAACAATAATGTATCACTGATACAAATGAATTTGAATCTGCAGAGGTAGACAAGGAACAGACTACAGCTTGCTTCTGGGAAAGTATCGGAGCCCAGTGCACCTGCCCACCTGCCCACCTGCCTAGGGCCTGCTGTGAGGTCGCAGCGCCACAATCAAGGCCTAGCTGTGACTATCTCATACTGGGAGGGTCCTCCAAGGTGCTAGAGGGTGTGTGTGTGTGTGTGTGTGTGTGTGCGCGCGCGCATGTGTGTGTGCTCAGCAGGCCGTGCTTGGGTGCTAGGGCCCAGGCAAGGATGCCGGAGGGCCCGCCTGAGCCAAGGCACATGGTTTGCCTGCACTGACCACCACAGTTCATCTGGGGTAAGATCTGGGCAAGTCATCCTACCTCTGAGGCCACCACTTGTATTGTCACAACAGCCAAAGCACTAAATAAATGAGATGAAGGATTAGAAAGTGGCCTTCTTGTTACCCCTCCTCAAAAAATACTCACCAGTTACTTGGTGGTGCTAAACATGTGCGATTTTTGTCTTCGTCATTTCCCATAGTGGAGAACCTTTCCACAGCACCAGTTATCGGAGACCCTGCGGTAAATCCCCGTTCTGCCCAGAGTCATGGTAACATGGTAAGAAAGAGAAAGAGAAGAAAATAGGGCTCTGGGATGGTCAGTGTGCTCAGGAAACGAAGCCCAAGCATCTCCAGCCAGGCGGCATTCTGTTAGCTTGTGGGAGGCGCGCAGGAGCGAGGGTTGAATGGGCAAGTCGCACAGCGTGAAGGAGACAAGGTAAGATTCATCTCCACACTTAGGGATTGTTCCCCTGTACTGTCCTCAGCAGACTTCGTCCTGCCCTGTGAGCTCTACAGCCTCACTGACCATGAGGAAGCCAGGATTTCCAGATACTACAACCACCACAAGGCAGGACAAGGGGGCCTTGGACAGAATGCAGCCCCTGGTCTTAGAAGGAGCCCCAAATGTTCTACATTTTTTTCCTGACTTGTTCTTGAAGTAAACAGGATAACAAGCTAACAGGCTGCTTGCTAGTGCCCCTAGTGCCAGGGCAGAGAATTCTAGGAAAGAGCTAAGCAGCTGGTTTTTAAAACTGCCTTAGAACTCAAGGGAATGTAGCATGCTGACAGCTTTTGATGAGTCATTTGAGACCTCTGTGGAGAAAGTGTCACACAGAGGAGACCTGATCTTGCTCCTCCCCGGGTACCCAGAAGAAATCTCGCCTCTCCCCTCATATCTAACCTGTGCCTCAGGTCACTTGTCCATCTCTTCCGCAATCAATTATTTTTGCCTTCCAGGGCATTTACTTTTCTGGGACGAGCCCATGGAGCTTGAGCTACCGTATGTCCCTTCAGTACGGCAGCATGGACTGAGGCTTCATGACCTACTGGCCCTGTCTCCACAGAGCCGAGGCTCACGCTGTGGAAAGCCTATTCTGTAATCTAGCGAGCCAGAGGAAAAAGTTCACTTCTACTGAAATCTAGAGAACAAGGCAGGCTAAGGGCCTATGCTGGACCCTGCAGCTTGACAGCAGGGATTTGGTGCACATTCATGAAGCAAGCCCACCCAGACTCTCTCCCGAACACCAGCTGTTCAGATCAGCCATGAAGGTGGGACTGAGGCTCTCTGTATCTCTCACCTGGTGGCCTTTTTATAGAGAAAAAGTTTTCATGGAGTCACACTACTGCAATCTCTTGACTGCTTTATTCTTTAAACACAATCTTAGAACAGGAACTGGTTTATAGTTTTAAGATGTCTTTTCCTAATATACTCCATGTGTTGGAAAGACAATTAAAACAAACTCTAGGAACCATCCTGTTAAAACTGGTTGCAAGTAGCTCTGGCCGTTCCCCAGTGCGGTGGAACACGGGGCTGGCCAATCCTCGAGGGAGACAGGTGGCTGTAGAGCTTAACAGTAAGGACAAGCTGGTATAATGTTGCACACTTGTAATCCTAGCACTCAGGAGGCTGAGACAGGACTGCAAATTGAACCTAGCCTAAGCCACTTACTGAAACCCTGTATGAAGATAAAAGTGAAGAAAAATGAGCAAGGAGAGTTCTCTAGGGTCAGAATGCTAGGTGTATTGGACCAGCTTCTTCTAAAGCACTGTGCAAACTTTTTGTGTTATTTACTAGGTGATGGTGAAAAGGGACACCACTAGCTCCACCTGGAGCAGTGCTTGGTGCCAGCGAGGGTGACGGTGCTTATGCTGGACAGGCCGCCCCGCTGTCTGCCTGCGCCGGCCCTCCAGCCACCACATCCACCCCAGCACGTGCAGGGACTCACCTGTCCAGTGGGACTCTCAGTGGCACTATGTCGTCTCATTAGTTCTTTTGGGGAAGAGGGAGCCAGCGTGAAGGTAACTAGTACCACCCCTCTCCCAACGCCCTGGGCCCCCGGTGATGAGCCATGCAGGGGGCAGAAGAGAGCAAGCTGTAGTGACAGGTGTCCTGACCGACCACAGACCATCTGGAGGAGTGCTTGGTGCCAGTGAGGCTGAACACTTGTTTTGATAAACACTCATTCCAAACAAAAAGGCTCTAGGGCAATAATGATAAAATTTGTAGAGCTTTCAATGATAGGTAGTAGTAGACAGCTGCAGCACGTGGGCCACAAGTTCTCCACCACTAGTCTAGGCCTGCTGCTGAGTGGAAAGAGCTGTTGCAGTAGGGACTGACTGGTTTTGGACAGGGTCCGGCTTTCTGGACTGTGTGGTGCCTGTGGACATCCATTTTATGCAGACCAGCTCCTGACTCGGGCCTGGAGATCTTCTTTGCCTCTGCCATGCATCGCTGAACAACGTCAAGGCAATCGCCAACTCCCTCTCTTCTGGATCCTTCCCCACTTACATAAAGATATGGTGCCTAAGCCAGGCACGGTGGCACGTGCCTGTAATCCAAGCACTAGGGAGGCTGAGGCAGGAAGACCATTACAAGTTTCAGTCCAGGCTGGGTTACTAAGTGAGCTTAAGGCCAGCCTGAACTGCACAGCGAGACAAAAAAAAAAAACAAAAACAAAAACAAACCAAACCTACCACAATATAGTGCCTGTGAGGATGAGCTGATAACTGGCTGGTGCCCAGTAGGGTGGTTTCCTAAAAAGCCTACCTAGAGCTAAATGCACACAACTCTTCCAACTATTTGGCGGGAAGAGGTAATGGGGCTCCAATTCTACCTGTGGTGATCACGCTGGACAGGCCTAACTGCAGTCCCCCTGAGCAGTGGTCCCTAACTAGATGAGGAGGAAAGTGAGGTTCTGTCAGCACAGGACCCAAGCCCACAGTGCGCGGCCATGGTAACTCCACTTGCCACTCTCAGCACCCCACCTACCTAGGAGTGCTCCAGATTTTAAGCAGATTTAAATGAAAGCCACGCGAGCATTTATGGTGTTTGGGGGCACTTATTCTACTGAGCCATCTCCCTGGCCCCACTTCTCTGACTTTGAACACACTCCTTCCACCACTCTCGCAGCTTGCTGAGGCAGCCCTGGAAGCCCTCCGCATGAGCGTCTTTCAGTGGTGATGCTGTGACTACTTCAGTGACTTATACTGATTCAAAGGTTTACCTTTCATACCACTTTTAATTTGGGGAAGAGCTGCAAACTACACAGCACTAGATGTGGTGAATAGGTGGATGAAGACACACCATGGTGAGTTTTGTTTGTTTTTGAGACAGGGTCTCACTATGCAGTTCAGGCTGGCCTTGGGCTCACTTTGTAGCCCAGGCTGGTCTCAAACTTGCAACAATCCTCCTGCTTCAGCTTTCCTAGTGCTGGGATTACAGGTGTGCACCACCATGCCTGGCTTAGACCATGTTCTTGACAGAACTGCCATAAACGTTTGATCAACACGGGGTGAACAAATAATATGGCTGTTTTATTTTATTTTTTTTAATCTTTCATTTATTTCGTACAGAGTCTTGCTATGTAGCTTGGACTTATAGTGATCATCCTGTCTCAGCCTCCCCAGTGCTGGGATTACAGGTATGCGCCACCATGCCTGGTTTCAGTGGCTGGCACAGCATGTGGTACCAGGGATCGAACCCAGGTCTTGCCAGGC